CAATAAATATGCCTGACTCTTAGTCTTACATAAGATTACTAAATCTAGCAATCTAGATATTTAAACAAGATTCAAGACATTTTAAATCTGCCATTAAACAGCAATTAACACTCTTAACGAAACATATATTTATTTTAATTCCTTCAAATATCTAAATTTGATTGTAAATTATGTAATATTACAAAATTCATTATTAAATAAGACAGAAATATGGTTTGTTGAATAAAATAATCATTTTATAAATTCAATCTACGCTTACACAGTAATTAACACCCAATAACTTTATAAATAATATTGATCTTACTTCCTGGAATGAAATAAGTTGGAATCTATCTTATATAACATTACTAAATATGATGGATGAAACAATGGAAACATAACTCTAAAACCCTTGATGTTTAATATCCTAGCAACAAACATAGAAATAGGCCTACTTATAAACCAAGACAAACGTCAATATTTCATAAATTAGCTACAAAAAGTCAGCAAGTTTATCTACCGAAATTAGCCAAACAAAATACATGCACATGTTCAATGTAGTTTCTTGGGATTAAGAATTGTTTTAAGACAAGCCAACATCTTTGTATGTTTATTTATCTCCCTTTGATAAAACCTGTAAATAATCATACTATTTAATAGTAAGATTTGGCTTAAAACTGTATCTTAATTGACTGATAAACTCAACTAAATACACAATATTCAAACTGAACCTAACACAGAGACAAAATGCTCAATTCTAATTAATACTGATTCACCCATCTTAAATCCTCAGTCAATAAAGATGAATTGATAAGACATGGATTATCTTCCCTTTGATGTTTTGTATATCACAAGAGATAATCTTACAAGTAGAGATATCTAGATATCTTAAAGATTGTGCGATGATCATTCAATACAGATGATCCAATGATCACTAAAAAATATCTTTTATTAAAACCACAGCCCAGGGAGATTATATCTACTCAAGACCTTAATAAATATAGTAAAAGGTTTTATAATATGTCTATATCTAGCTTATTATGATAAAGTAGATTAATATCTGATTTTATAATGTGTATAATTCATAAAACTGATGATCAGTTGATAGAGATTATATTTTATGATACCATTTCCTGGGGCATTATATCACTTGTTTGAGTAAATATATTCAAATACGATTTACATTTGATTAAGAAAAGAAAAATAAAAGTAGACAATCTCCCAGCTTGGATACAATCAGAATATAAAGAGATCCATCAGGAGGGGTTCACTTGTTTATATTCAACTATCACAATATGGCAAGTGATTCCAAATCTTCAAATAATAATTCCTGAATATAAACTCATTTAAAGATACATTATACGATATTAGATAAAGAGCTGGCAGTTCTCACTATAATAGTTATAAACTAGATAATGTAAAGGGAATTTGCTGAAAATTTCCGTCAAATTGATCCACTCTGAACCGCGAATTTGGCGATTGAATTTTGGGCCTAAAGTCGGTACGATAAAATGCATTGTCTTGATTATCCATTTCTTGATATAATCATGAATGAGCGTAGAGCAGCAGATCGGATCCTAATCCAGTAAATATTGCAGGCTAGCGATATAACATTGAGAGTTCATTATGGTCTGAATAAGTTAATTAATGTCTAATTAATAATTTAGATAATTTAGGCAGATTTAGCTCTTGCATAATGTACGTTTAGAGAGATAACAATTCAACTGTATTAAAATATGCTTCTCTAGACACAATGGCTTCAAACTCATCTGTCTTTGTTGTATGTTTCCTTAAGACAAAACTCGTCACTTCATAACATTGTCTTTAATATTGAGTAAATAAACAGCTTAACTTCAAATAAAAAAGACTGTGAAGTTTTCATAAACTAACAATATCTTGATTTAGAAACCACTTTTAACCATAAACAAAAATCATTCGAGAATAAACCAATGACTTGAAGCCTTTCACATTCTTAATTCACCATAAACTAACATCTAATTTACAATTAACAAAATAAACCTAAATTTAGTGGAATAACAGTCTTAATCTCTATTCACTGAAAATTCTTTCAATAAACTAATCTCATTAAAATATGGCTTCAAGCTTATCAAGTTTTCATTCCAAATTAATAGTTTTTAGATGAAACAAAAGAACTTATAATTTAGTGAAACATCAATGTAAAAATCAAATCAGTTTAAAAACCAATTTAAAAAACCTGAAGCTTTTAACAACTACTGTCTATAGGTTACTTACAATGGCTGCCAATTTTCACTCAAATAGTCTGATCTCTTTATGTCTAAAGGGTCATTAATTAAAATAATTTAATTAAAGAAACTAATGTTTATTCTGTAATATCTAAATCTAATTAATTTCTAGGTTAATTTGATGACTACTAGTCTAGTGGGGGTTTTTTTCGACAGAAAGAAATCAGTCTCTATTCTCATTGTGGTATGGTAACTACTTTCTTTGCTGCAATATTTTGGGTCCAAAAATATGTGATGTTTATATTAATAGTTTATAAATTATATTCACTTTCTCAGCTTTGTTGCTTTTTAATGCAAATAAAGTAAAAATAAAGACCCCTTGACAGGCAAGATGTCCCTCATCCAATGAAATAGGGTTTAACATCCTACTGATGTGCACCGAATGGACACAGTGTGCCATGGTATAAGGGGAATTTTGTCCGGACATCAGCACTAAGGGTTCTTTTACGTGCACATCAATTTATTCCAATCCGAATGACTATACGTTGTCCCTTGCCAGGCTGTCCATCCAGGAACCACCCAAGAAATCAAATCCAGATCAAACATGGGACGTTCAAGTTAGCGAGCCAACATCTTACTTAATGAATGAGCCACTAAGGGTCTGAATTTCCCTCATGGACATACAATGATACAGTACCAAACTGCATGGCATAATAGATATAGCACTCTGCATGGCATAATAGACATAGCACATTCCATGGCATAATATACATAGCACACGGCATGGCATACTACTAGTAGCCCAGTTGGTGGTGAACAGTAGGATGGGAAACCCTATTTTATTCCTCCTACATAAGTCAGACAATTCTTCATATTATAGGAGCTTTTACGGGTTTTCCTTTTGACGTCATTTTCGGTCATGCGCAGACCCTGGCCTTATTCGTAGACTGAAACCCATAGGCCAGTGTGTGTTTTTTTGTGAAAATACCGTCGTACAGCAAGCTTCTTTTACATAAAATGGAACTGAACGACATTTCTATATATGTGTAAGCTTTACCGACAGATGCCAGAAAGCGATATTTACAAAAACTTCGATATAGGAATGATACGGCAAGTTTAAAAGACCCGTAATTGGCTGTTTGCAATTGAGGAAGTTTATTACGCATTTTACGGCCCAACAGATGTTATATATTAATTACGGGACTATTAACACAAAAGATTTAAATGGTCTATCCTATTTACATTCAACTGCCGACTGGACAGTTCTTTGCGAGGTTGATATATCGTCTGCTATAGCACTGCATGCTACCCTACTCGACACGAAACACGGTACTATGTTGGTCTTTGAGGCTGTCAATTTGAAAATAATTCCAGCTAATAATACTATAAATAGTATGCAATATGCAAATAAGATTGTTTATGCGTATTGTTAGTCAATAGCTATTGTAAATTTCCCCGTGTTTAGACGGCTCTAACCAATGATAAAATAGTTTGGTGCACGGGGTAAAACTTTAGCCATTTTTAGAAATTTTCCTCTTGATGGGATATGAATAACGGAAAGAATAAAACGACGATCAAGTTGAATCTGTGAATATTTTTTAAAACTTTTTTTTTTTCTGTTAATTGTAACCACATAAATCGTCTTGGCTCAGCTTTTGGCACTCAGTGAAATTTTAATCCAATCAGTTTATCTTGCCACAACCAAGAAGAAGAACGATACATTTGTATCCATTTTATCAATTTCTAATTCAGTATTTGGTTCAGAGAACAACTGTTGAATGAAAATAATATGTAACTGGACTCGGTGCATTCTATACAGCGTGATTATTATTTGTTCTCTTTTCTTAGATGTGCTACGGTCGTGCTTAAATTTTAATATCGTCTTGAATAATTCGTTCGTGGAACCGCAGGTCAACATCTCTAACCCATTCTATTATTTACTCTTATGCTCTATTTCATGGCATTTTACAAGCAAACAGATGTTATCTATTAATTGTTTGCAGTAAAATTAAAACAAAACATATAAATCGGCTTCATACAGCAATGCATCTTTGTAGTGCTTTTGCGTACTGCGGTCAACTGGACCATGTGCGAGCTTGACATATATCGTCTGCTACAACGCAGTATATCGTCAATAAAACGAAACAAAAATAATTTAGACAAGATTTGAAATTGGTAATTTATTACGAATGCTACACGCAACTTACAACAAGAGTGGCATTCAAGAATACTTTTTGTATAAAGAGAAAAAGAGGAAAAACCCCATTTTCCCTAGAATTTACCATGTTAAGACCTGTGTTGAAAAAGGCCAGGCTAAACTTAGACACCGGAAATACGTCACGCGTAAAAGCTCCTATAAGTGTTTCTATATTCAAGGATAAAAACAAAAAACTATCTATGCCATGCATTTCGGTACTAACGTTGTTGTTTATTTTTATTTCAGTAATTGCTGAGTTAGTATTATTAGTTGCAAGCTGATAGAAATGAGTGGGAACTAAAATAATAAAACATTCTGGGCTTGGCTTGGTGACTTTTGTCTTTTGTCGACCCGTTCCGTCTCCTGCACTAAGTCTTCTGTCGGGAATGTGTTGGTGCTTGGTGGTTAATTCAATATGTGTTCAATTATTTATAAAATTTATGACAATCTGAATGATTGAATGAATGACAATGACAATGACAATGACTATGTCTTGAGTGTCAGTGGATGAGACGAGTGAGCGACTGGACGTTACGTTGAGCCTTGGCCTTGAGGATTCTCCGAATGATCTGTGACGAAGGTGATAATGGTCTCGGCTTCATCAGATTAGAAATACTTACCTTTCTTGATAATTTGTTGAATTAAATGTACGATATATCAAAACTCGTTAATAATCTTGTTTATTTTCCAGAATCCAGTTCTTGCTTATTTCCATGTAATTATTTCTACGATGCATCACATCCACATAATTAAAATAGACGGAAATAATTATTTTATTGTAAATATTGTTAAATATTTGTTACACAACTTATGTAAATACTTTTATGATAATTTCTATGGTAACTAATAAACAAAAATAAGCTAAAACCAAACAATAACATATTTATAGTCTTTGTCTATTAGGAAAATAAGCAGAACATCACGATTTAGAGATAACTCTTGTTTTATAGTCGTGGTTGTCCAGACTTCTACTTCGCGCATAATTAAATTTTAAAGACACTTTATTCGATTATATCATCCTTGAAAAAATTCAAAGCAAATTTGATATTTAACTATTATAAGACTACAAATTTCAATTTGTATAATTTATCGTCATTTACATCGTCAAAAGAGAAATCTACGCGGGATCTTCGAAAAGCCACATAATTAGTAGAAGAAATGAAATGGTAACGTTCTGTACGTAGAACTAGTGGCTGAAATTCCGCACCAAACCGGCTAATGAAGACGGGTCAAGCAGTGTGCTTTGAATCTGAGAGAGATTTTGCCATGAAAGCGTCGCTTTTGGCGACTCGTCGTCGAAATCCAAATGTGAAGGATTCTTTCAAGTGCGGAACGAATACAAAAAAAAAAAAAAAAAAAAAAGTCGCTCCAAGATATCCGTGAATCTTCGAGATGATTCCATCTTGAGTTTATCAACATAATTTTAGTTTAAATCAAGTGTTTATTTAAAAATAAATTAGCCCTGATGTCTCTTTCCGGATTCTATAAGGCCTAATATAATTATATTTATAACAAATGCAGGCCCATATTATAGTGGGTTTTCTAATAGTTAACCGTTACCGGAAACTGGAACAGATAACAAATAGCTTTCTGCATAAAAAAGGCAATCTGAGGACGATCAAATTTGAATTAAGAGCCAATCTAAATTCGACAAATTATACGAACCTGTCAAACTGTGGTAAGCACTAAAATAGGGATTATGCAATAACGAATGTATACGATAATTTTAACTAATTTAGTGACGTCATATATATAGATATAAGGGTAATCATCGATAGATTCCGTTATATCAAAACGCACTCCTTCTCATCATGAATGCATTCTTTTAGAAATCGAGCCACTACAAGTAAGTAAAATCTGCTGATTAAATCACCACAAATCAAAAAATGTGTCAAAGTCTTAAAACGGGTTTTGATAAAAGCCAACAAAAAACACGCTGTTGATTTAATTTGAACGTTTTCTTTAATCCCCGATGATGAAGTTTTGAGATACTCCGAAAAGCATCAATCAAAATCGTTGATTGACAAGCCCTTGAAAGTAACGGTACTTTTTGAATGTCCCGAATCTACCCGCAAGCTGTGGGGTGTTTACTATCCAAGTCCCAAGCCATTCTAATGAAGTTGTGGCTTCTATGGAAGTGAGTGGAGAAGGCCCCCCTAGGGATAGAGAGAGAGCTTGCTGTATTGATGGGCAATCTTTTGTTTTCAGGTTTGATGAAGTCAGACGTCAAGAGTAGACAAAGATTGATTATGGCGCGAAACAATAGCATAACGGCTTGAAACGTGATATACGTCGTCTTGATCATGTAGGGCGGTTAATGCCTACTGCAAACCAATGGCACTTTTCGATAGACTAGATCACATTTCTACGAGTTATTTTTGTAGTCCTATTGAGTATTTTGGCAAATTTTGAAAGGATTTGAATACACCTGTAATTATCTATGATATTCAGGTGTTATTTACAAGTGATCGAGAAGCGAGCGCCTCACGGCTTGTTAGATCGTTATATCACCAGATATTCCATTCAAACGGCATCCATTTTGATTTATTAGCTAAAATTTAATCAAGCGAGTGATGTCAGCTCTGTTTCAATGCGTGTCAAAAGACAAGTTTTTGTTCCGTGTTTTCCGGACGGGTTGTGAAATTAACTCAATGGGTTACAAAAACTTTTAAAAGACAATCGAAACTGTGGAAAAACATGAAATTTGAAACCAATGATTGCCTGTAACGACCAATCTGAAGTACTGATACAATCTGACTGACGACTTGACCGTCGTTGTTGTCATGGATTCTGATCGATTTAAGAAAAGATTTGTAGCCATTTAAAACAAACTAATGTGCCGTTTTAAACTAGTCTCGTGTCGTTATTACCGTCATTGATTGGATCTGTAACACGTGGCCAGATATAGATAAAGATTTAAAAACAAATTAGTTCTGATCTGACTGTATATCCTCGCCATTCTTATTCTTCTATATTCAAATTAATTTAATATATGACAATACATAAGCCAATGTTATTGATAATAAGTATCCGATTATTTTTTTATTGCGTATGGCTACTGTAATAAGAGAGAGAGAGAGAGAGAGAGAGAGAGAGAGAGAGATAAATGGGGTTTAGCATTCCCTTGACACAAACTAGGCCATTTTGGGTCTAACATATGGTTCAAGTTTACTTCAATAATTCGCTTGCACATACATAAATATTTGTCAACCAAAATAGGAGAGAGAGAGAAATGGGCTTTAACGTCCACTCGACACAAACTAAGTAATTTCAGTAGTAACCAATGGTTCAATTTTATTCCAATAATTCACTTGCGCGGAGGGGTATTTAGCAGTGTGAGAAAACCGGAGGACCCGGAGAAAATCCACGAGGCTGGAGAGGCGACCCTACTCCTTGTTACGTACAACTGTGAGAGAATATTCTTCTAAACGTCGCCTTAAAAACACTATAGTAGCTGTTTTCCATTAGTATGTGTTTTTGTTGGGTTTTTTAATAAAAATACAATTAAAAAATAAATTCTACAATGCCCGACCTTTAAGGCCTGCGATGTTTTTGGTGATAATCATTAACAGCTACTTTATTCGTTCAACTTGACAATTATTTTCTCTCTATAATCATGTAAGTTGGCCTATAATATGTTTATTTTTGTCAGTGGCTTGTTTTGGTGAATAAAATATTGTTTAAATCATAACTTCAAGTGAAAGGAGAAATAAAATGAAACGATGTTTAAAGTCTGCTGTGAAAGAGGGGATTATTGTCCATGGATGTATAACGATTAAGTAAAGTAGATCTCAAGTAAAGTTATTCCCTCGCATTTCTGGCATATGTCGTCGTATATATCTATACAACATACACACAGTTTTATATTCTGGTAACTGGGCTTTGGACATAGGCGTAGGAGCTACAGCCCCCCCCCCCCCCACATCCCGACCATATATCATAAAAATGTAAGTGTATAATGATTGATTCATTCTGAAAATTTGGAGGACAAAGAGAATTTTGAGCACCCCCATACTCACAACTGAGATTGGCCTCCCACGCCTATGGTTTTGGGGGCCCTCAGCTTCAATCCACGCACCCCCTGCCTTTTAATTCGCCATTGATGTTGATAAATGTGATAACAACTAGATGTAGAAATAAAAATACATATGTTGCACTAGATTTACCCCCCACCCAGTTCCTTAATCTACTGATAATAAATAACCCTCTCGCTCCCCCCCCTCCCTCGTAACTCTGCATGGTTTCATCTTTGAGGTATTGATATCGTATCAAACAATTATTACTCGATAATGCCCGTTAATCCAAATATTACTCCCACCTCTGATCTTATCTCGTTTTTTAATTAATTCAAATATCATCTCTTCTTAACAAAGAAATCTTAACAATTAAAAAAAAACAACAACACATCTTCGCAGTTTATTTAAGACAAAAAAAACGCCGAGCATTGTTCATTCAACTCAACTTCAATTAAACATTTGTAATTACTCATTAGTCCTTTTTCTTAATTACTTAAGTTTTAATTAACTTAAAATAATAGTCACCTGTCACGACTTGTGGTCTATTGTTTTACCCATACTTAACATGTTAAAAACAAATTGTGTCATCGCATGTCAATTTTGATCAAAGGTCGTTTTATTTTATTTACGGGTGTCGTTCTATTGACGAGTAATGCACAGTAATAATACGTTTACTGTGTTTTTTTAACACCTTAATAAGTGTCGCCGTTAAGAAAAACTGGAATAAAAACAATACTTTGGTGATCGTGAGAGAGGAATAAACCCATACAACCCCTCTTTCCCCCAATAGATTGGTTTCTTATTTAATGATATCGTTCTCACTTTAAGCGGTGATCTTTTCTTTTTATCTGTCAAAACATCAGTCCTTTATTGTTCCCGTCGATAGCGGCACATCAAAGATCAAAACCCTTTGTTTTCTAGACATCAAAGGCACCGCGGGTCTATCACGTAATCACATCATTAGGTTGAAGAAATAATGAAGCCATGTCGAGATACATTATCAAGTCTTTTTACGATCGTTAAAGTATACCACTTCAAAAAGACTAAAAAAACACGACTATTTCCAGAACGTCGAATTCAATGTTTTGAAAAGACTGGACGAATCCTATACAAAAACCACGGGTGACCGTTATGACGTCATTAACTCAACCGACCAAAAAGACGAAAATATTTTTATAAGGTCTAAAGGTTTAAATCTTTAAGAATGGATTCAAATTTCGGATTTGGAGTTTAGGAGAATAGGTCGTCTATTCGATTATATTGGATTTTGATATCAACTGGAAACATTTTATAAACATTTTATAATGGTTTTAATCTTAATCAGAAAGTCATCGGCAAACATTTTTATATAGACCACATTTATTTTCCGGATAACAAAACCATTTTTGGAACTTGAAGATAATTCGGGAAAATAAATTTCAGAAACCTTGCAAAAAAAAAAAACTGCTTTGTATCCCCTGTGGTGCCAGATTAGGCTAGTATAGCCACGGCGTCTCTTTTCACAATACCCCCAAAAATATCAAATTTGGCCACTATTCATGTATTGAACAAAACACACGTTTACCATCTGGGATATAAATGTAGCCATCTTTGATTTTAATGTGTATATTAGTTATTGTACTTATGTTGTTATCACGTGATTGGTTACACCCCCCTGCATATACCATATGTATTACGACCTCCCGGGTTCAAAGGTCAGGGGATATTCTACTTCTAACAC